CCAAACTCATTTACAATGACTTGTTAATCCCTGTTTGGACAAAGTCTGAAATGGAAACTTGTATAGTTTAGTCTGTGTGTGTGTGTGCATGCATGCATATATACATACAGAGATATATCTCAGGCATACCTTGACTGACTCTCTTCAAACCTTGAACATACACTGTACTTAACACCCATTCTAATACATATGCACATGTGATGATTTGTAATTACCGCAAGTCAAAGATGGGCAACTGGCGGCCATATTTTTCATAAAAAAACATTTCGATCAGATATTTGGATATGTCGGAAACCAGATCTTGGGAATGTATTGTCTGCTTTTCTTCATATGTAAGAATAACTATTATGGGTAGTCGATGTATGTCACTTCAATTTGTAAATTTGACTCAAGATGGCCAACTGGTGGCCATTTTGTTTTTTTACAAATTGCATTCTAGACATTGTTTGTCATACATGCTTTTCAATTAACTTCCAACTTTACACATAACAGACATCATGACGTACATACAATAATTTTGTCATCTTATCAAAAATGACTGACTGACTGCAATTCCAGAACTAGATCTAGGTGGTGTATTGATGAATTTTGTTCATACTTGGTATATGCATTTAAAATTATTGCACTTCATTTAGTTTTTCGAATCAAATTCAAAATGGCCGACTGGTGGCCATTTTGTTTTTAATGACTGGGTTTCTGGAGCTGTATTTCTGCCATGCTTTGACTGATTGTGTTTAAATTTTATACATGTACCAGTGTATACATTATACATCTTGTGGCACATATGTATGTGTAACTGTTTTACCATTAGATTCAAGATGGCCGAATGGTGACCATTTTAATGTTAAAGTTCATTAAAATCAAGCATTCCTTCCATTCCAGAATTTTGGTCATGTATGGATGGATTTTGTTTAAACTTGGCATGTACATTAAAAGACCTTGATGCATGTCACTTTGGTTTTTTAAATTGCCAACTGTCAGCCCTTTTGTTTTAATGAGCATTCATTCAAGATTCAAAATGGCTGAATGCAAATGTTGTTCTAGAGCCGTGCCATACATTGGCTGATTTCAATCAAACAACTATATTATATATCATGTAATTTGTTCCATGTCCTGATTTAGAATGGTTGACTCATTCTTATTTTGTTTACTATTTCACTAACAAAGACTCTGTCATGTTATGAAGTTACTTGTTAACAATGATGTTAACAACTATTATGAATAGTCTTAAAGCGGGGGATTACGCCAGATGACCATATCGTGTCATTGTTTACAAACAAGTGTCTACCCATGAGCCTTTGCATTTTTAGCGTGTGTTGTTATCGTCGCTTGGGACTCAATTCCCGCATGTGCGCAGGTGACGACCCTCCCACTTTAACCAATATTGTGTAGGTAGGCAGTTTTATTTGCGAAATAGACTACAAACAAAAACATGAACAAGCAAATTATGTTATCACAGCATTTCTAGTAAGGGTATATACTCACTTGTATAGATATGCTTGTGAATTGTCAAGATTTTTGTTACTTGACATTAATTTATTGGGTGTGACTATAAGTCAGTAAGGTTATGCTTACTCATTCTGGACACCTGGTATAACCGCTGAGACGTCAGTTGTTGTCTATTTTGTTAACAGTGATCTATGTCTTGTGGACCTATAGCAGCCTGTGTTGCTTTGCATGGCATCAAGCACATCTATTTACATGACACAGATGCTAGGATACTAAATACATGTATGTAGGGTACTGACTGACTGTGACATTTACATGACCTGGATGCCTCTATATTTTGAATTCAGTATCTTTTGTAGTATGTACATAACCTCAAAATAAATCATTAACTTTCAAGTTAAAAGATAAATATTCTATTCTATTCTATTCTATTCTATTCTATTCTATTCTATTCTTTTTTATTCTATTCTATTCTATTCTATTCTATTCTATTCTATTCTATTCTATTCTATTCTATTCTATTCTATTCTTTTCTTTTCTTTTCTTTTCTTTTCTTTTCTTTTCTTTTCTTTTCTATTCTATTCTATTCTATTCTATTCTATTCTATTCTATTCTATTCTATTCTATTCTATTCTATTCTATTCTATTCTATTCTATTCTATTCTATAGAATGTATTTACAACAAACAC